TGTAACTTGATTTTTTCTGTACTTTTTCCTTTTCAGATTTCTTCCTTCCCTTTTTCAAAAGTATAGTACTGAGGATTGAGCTGCATCTTGAGCCATTTTTTTATTTGTATATTTTGAGACAGGTTCTTGCTAAGTCACTAAATCACTCTGGCTAGATTTCAATGTTCAATCCTCCTGCCTCACCCTTCCAGAGTGCTGGGATTGCAGGCACACACCACCACTCATAACTTCTCTCCTTTTTTGTGAGGCCCTGGGTTCTGTGCTTTCTGCCAGTAGAAATGTGGATGTTGCCAGCACTTTACCTTTCTCAGGCCACACTGGAACTGTGGCCTGCCCAGAACTCATCAGACAAATTCCAGATACACTGTGTACAACTATTCTCCAAATTTTACATCCATTCCTCTCTAAAAACATGGAAGTTGTTTTTTTTTTAACATTCAGGTTACAAAAACGTATAAAGATTTTATGGTTATTTTGGGTTTTGAGATTATTTCGCTCTACTGGCAAAATAACTCTTTGGGACAGAACAATTTAATCCTTTCCTCAGAAGGCAAGAAGATGTTACCACTTTTGAATAGACTCCAAAACATGTTTCTGTGTAGAGCGATCTGACCCTTAGCACAAACAAGATTTCAATAAAGTAGGCATCCAAAAATATGAAAAATTACATTAATGAATCAAACAGAGCAGAAGTCAGTAAAACCTTTAAAAGACCTAAAGCAACATTTTCTTTTCCAAGTGGATGTGTAGTTTGGAGGTCTTTGAACTGGATTTTGTTTTGATTGCTGTCCCTTCCCTACCAAATGGCACAGTGAAAGCTGTGCCTTGTGACAGGCAGAAAGAATGGCAGATGAACATACGGCTCTCAGGAGGCTAAGTTCTCATCATTGACAACACAGGCAAATGGAAGTTCCTCCTCAGAATCGCTGCCTTTGAAACAGTGGATTATTCGCCTGCCTGGCAAGCGCAAGGTCGTGAGTTCGGTTCCTGGTACCGGAGAAAAACCAAAAAAAAAAAAAAGAAACAGTGGATTATTTTTCACATCATACCCATGTCTAGTCCTAAAAACAAGGATTGCATCAGTAAGACACATTTCTTTACATTACAAACTACATACTTTGTTAGTGAGCAAATAATTGCATTTTTGAAAAACAAAAAGAACCTCCTCAGGACCTATCTAGAATGTGGCTTCTGAAGCTGAAATTAAATTTGTAATTTATTTTGGGCATTAAACATAGATGACTCATAGTCCATTTCATTTCTGATAATACCTGTCATTTGATAAGATTTTTATGGAACACTGTAATGAAGACTTTCACATCAAAATCGTTTGTGGTAGCCATTGCTTCAAAATTTAGGAATTGTTATTGTATTTCATCTTTGTATTAGGTTTCTAGAGGTAATATCTTAGAAGTAAAAACTGAAATCATTCCCAGAAAAATAAATTTTGTGTGACATATTCAGAATAATTTAGTGCCTCTCATACCTACAAATAGTGTTCCCTTCTATTTAAGCTCTTGATTTACATCACAGCATCAACAACCAAAGAAAGAAATACAGATACTGTGAGACAACAGGACGTTTATCTCAATTAAGTGCCTACTATTTCAGACTTACTAAGTTCATGAAGTATGGATGATACTTCCACAAATACATCAGTGTCTTTATTAAGAGTAATGCTTTTCCATTAATTTCCATTTATTATTTATCTTTATAAACTGTCAATTTGAAAGCTTGCATCTGCCTACGTAGCCTCCACTCTATAACTTGGAGTGTGTGTATTTTGATATGCAGAACCTATATTTTTCTTCAAAATTTTAGTTTAAAAAATAAGGGTGTGTGATCCTTATGCTAGAGCAGCATGCTCCTGGTGACACTTTTACACTTTTGCATTTGGATTTGCAGAATTCAGGGCTCCACAGAAAAAAAATCAGAAATGCAGGGAAAGAAGCAACTGGCTCCAGACCAGGTCTCTGCCTTTGGCAGCCACTTTGAGGAGGAAAATGAGTCTGCCTCTCAAAGACCCCAAATGTGCTCAGGATCTGCAGACATGCTGCACTGGGAAATACCGTGCCGAGAGAAAACAAACTAACAAAACAGCAAGACATCATTAGGGTGCTTGATGTGCAGCTCTGGAATAAGCAAACTGTGAGTTGTGATTACCGTATGTTTACCCTCACCCACCAGTAGAGATGGATGCTGTGATTTACCAGGCAGAAGAACATTGCTTTATTCTCAGGCTGCTACCTGGAGGTAAAATAACAGTACTGCAAAGGAGGAATATTTTGTTAAATATATTCCTCTACCAGCAACGAAGCAAAACATTTTTCAACACATTTAAACTCACGTTGATGTTTTAGTCTAGTGTCTTGAGGCAGGTGTTTGTAAAAGGTATTAATGAAAGCAGGTTTTACTTATACCCTCCTGAGTAATCGAATTTCCATGGAACATGTGTCCCTGTCACTCTCTGTGCTGTAACAAGCCAGTGTTTGGAGGTCCATTAAAACTGAACTGGTAATTTAGAGCACTAATAGATGCTTTTGGGGGTTCCAGGTGAATTAGGACCTACTGTGTCCATATTAGAAATAGTGAATACATATTTTTAAAATATTAGAAATATAACAATTATTCTCATATTACACACAAGGAAATAGCAGCAAAAATTTATATGCATTGTTCTCTGCCAAAGATAGACCATATCATTGTCCCAAAGACCACTGTGGAGAGTGAACATTGAAAGTCCACATGAGAGGGGCTGGGGATTTAGCTCAGCAGCAAAGCGCCTGCCTGGCAAGTGCAAGGTCGTGAGTTGGGTTCCCAGTACTGGAGAAAAACCAAAAAAGAAAAAGAAGAAGAAAGTCCACATGAGGGAACAGAACAGAGCTAGTCTTTCACCCATTACAGCATGTAAAATAGCATTTGAAAGATAAACAGAGAAAAAAGAGAGGCTTTAAAGAAGCTCTTTACAAGCTATGGAAGTGTGAAGTTAAAAATGCACGGCTGTCAGACTTGGTGGAGGTGTACACCATCTTCCCACGATCTTACACACACTTCAGACTTCAGCGAATGAGGACACACATACATACACAGTTTGAAGAAAAATAATTACAATCTCAACTTTCCATGTAGTTAATAATAGAAAGTTTCTTTTCCCTTTCGCTTTTGGATAATAACACGTCCATTCTGTACAGTAATGTCCAATGAATGGGGGAAGTTGTAGGAAAGTCACTGGGCTGGAAATAGGCTTGCAAATTGGGCAGAGTTTTATTCTTAAAACTCTGTTCTTAAAAACAAATAGTTAAGGGCTGGAGATTTAGCTCAGCGGCAAAGCGCCTGCCTGGCAAGCGCAAGGTCATGAGTTCGGTTCCTTGTACCGGAGAAAAACCAAAAAAAAAAAAAAAAAACCAAATAGTTAAGTGCACTTAAAGCCCAATACACAATAACAACATTGGAACGCATCTGGAAGATTTGACTCTTGAGTATTTAACTTTATTGGGTGGCATTTCCCCTGAAAACTAATACAAACTTATAAAAATAATATAAATATCTCACAGTTCTCAGCTTCAGGTATCTGAATTTTTGTATAACATGACAAAGAAAGGTTATCTTAAAAATAATTTAACCTTTCTAATTTTTAGATAAATTTGAATGATTTAATTAAACTAATGAAATCTTCCAGATTTGGGTAGCCCAGAGGAAATTCTAAAGAAAAGTGATGATCCTTTTCCCCATGAGTCTCCATGTCACCGGTCCAATAGAGATATGCACCATCTGTTAATCGTTACCTTTTAAAGATAATCTGCTTATAGACTGCCTACTTTCCTGCCTCATGGAATTTTAAGGTTACCCATTAACTTTCCACCATGGATCAGAGAACTATGATTACTTAGATCACCTTCCATATCCTTCCTTTCCTCATACATTTAATAACTATGTAAATTATTACTTATGTGTATAGTTTTACATGAGCTACTTTATTATTTTATGAATTATCATCACCATTCAAGTTTTCTTCTTCATCAGTCCTTGCTTCTAATCCTTTTTGTTTCTTCTACCTATCATACCTACTGCCTTTTGATCTCAAAAAACAGGTAATTGCCTTAGGGAACCTGAAAGATACAAATGCTATTTTTTTCTAAAAACAAAAATAAAGGAAAGAAAAGGTGCAGTTTAGCCTGATGTCATGATACTTCCACAAAGATTTGCACTGTAGGGCACTGTGAATCAAAGATGAACAGGTAGTAAAGAAAATAAGATATATCAGAAAAAAAGAAAAAAATCCCAGAAGGATCAAGATACCATTAGACTCAGGCAGCCTTAGACAGTGGAGAAGTCTTAACAAAGCACTTCCACCTCTGAAGGAAACAACACAATTTTGAGTTTTTGTATGAAATAGCAATACATAAAATAATCTTAAAGTAACTATTAAGAGGATACAACTTCTAAAGGTAAAAGTACAACTCAAAATGCTGAATTTATAGCATCTTGGACATGAATGAAAGTTCTAGTAAAGTAGAAGACAGAGCAACATAAATTACTAAATCACTCGGAACATGACGCAGAGAAAGAGTAAGTGCCGGGAGGGGACTAGACCGAACAGAAGACAGGAAGGGCAGCTTAGGAGGAAAGGAGGGCTGAGAGTGCTTTGCATCAGAGTGACAAAGGCAAGGGTATACTCACAGCTCCAAACACCGAAGGCTTTGAATGTGGGGCAGGGAGGAGTCTCCTGCAGGTCCCTGGCTCTCCTATATTGCTTTAGAAACATTAAGTAAAGAAAGGGCAGGCTCAAGAAAGAAGACTTTGCAACCTATTTTGAAAAACAAAAGGCCTCTATTACCAGGAGCTGGAGAACAGATTGAATTCTAAATCAGAAAGAACTTCTATCTATGACTCTTCTCAGGGTCCAAGAGGCAGAGATCCGGGGCCCTAATTGTCAGAACCAGGAAGTGGGAGTGGACATTGTGTGGAATTAAGTACTCGTATTTTCCTTTGCGTTGCAGGCTGGACAAAGAAGTGTATCCTGGAGAGAGAAAGGGAGACCCCTCAGTTATACCCCGGTTTGCGGAGGAACATATAGAATACTTTAAGGTAAAGTCATAATTGAGGAGTAAAGGCAGCATCACATAACGTAGCTGTTGGAATACAAGGGCTGTCAGTCTTAGAAGGCATGCCAGAAATCCAGAGAGAAGTCTGCCTCTCTGTCTGCGAGCCTGACACGGAGTCCTGGAGCTTGACAGAAACAGGGAGGTGCTGGGTGTGGTGATGCTTGCCTGTAATCTCAACACTCTGGGAGACTGAGGCCGGAGAATTATAAATTCAAGGCTGGCCTGGGCAAATTAGCAATCTAGGGAGACCCTAACCTCAAAATATAAAAACAAAAGGAAAGGCTGGAGATGTAATGTAGCTCAGTGTGAAGGCCTGGGCTCACTCCACAGTAACACATACAACACACACACACACACACACACACACACCCCAAATGTAAGGTGATGTGTTCCTTTCTTTCACTCAGAATTTCAAAACAAGATGGTAGGAAATTAACAGTGGTTATTGTATTGCCTGTTATTGTCAAAGTAGTTGCTCAGATTACCAGATACAGGCATTCAAAATTGATCAGAGAATATAAGCACTAACTGTTCCTTTCAATAAGCTAATAGAAATTAGTAGTATAGTTATCTTAGCTCTCTTGTGTACATATATATATACATATTTTTCCCTTCTTTCTTTTCTCCTTCCCCTCATCCCAGCCATTCTTCCTTTTTGAGCAGTTTCTTTTCCTTTCACATCTACTGTACATGTCGGATCTTATTTACTCTTTCAGTTTCTGACACTAGGGAGACAATATGAAGTTTACATATGTGAGACTGATTTATTTCACTTATGAGTATGGTCTCCATTTGTAGCCAATTACCTATGAAAGCCTCAAGTTTATCTCTCTTTATAGTTAAGTACTACTCCAGGTGTGTTCCTTTAAGTTTTTCCCTTTCTCCTTTGGTATCTACACAAAACTGGGGTATTAAGGCTCTGAATCCTGAGGCAGTCAGCCAGCCTTGTTCATGTCCACCTCCCCTCGAGCCCTGTCTCTGCAGAAGCCTACCCTCCCTCCCGGGCTGTGTGTAGTCATTCCTAGGAAGGATCCACAGGTTCGTATTTTCATTTGGTTTTGTTTTCAGAAACTCATCCATCACAAAAGGTAGAAAAGTTAGGTCTCATACTGAGTGACAATAGCCTAAAAAGAAGGACTAAAGGGAGGAGATGATGATGTTTTACCCTTTATAAATTTGTGATAATTTTGTCTAAAACTAACTTTAAATGCAATATTATTATATACAGCAGAAAAGTCATAATAGTTGAAACCAATCTTTTGAACCAATCCATACGAATCAAAGGCTTTGCTCTCTTCTCAATAGAGTTGATTACATTAAAGTCCAGTGCTGGAATTGATGACATAACTAGAGTAATTATGGGATGTCCAGTCACATCAAATAGGCACAGCTCTTTGATCTTGAAAGAGTCATTCAAATTTTTCAGATTTCCAGATCTTAGTTGCTCCAAATATAAAATGATTATATTGCCAATATGGTTTATAGAATTATTTCCACTTCTAATGTTGTATTTTTTATGTTCTGATTTGAAATGAATTTTACTTTTAAATTTGAAAAAATAAAAGGATAAGCCATAACATTATTGTTGAAAGTATTTAGAAACTATTTTTAAATTTTCTATGGTCCATCTCAACCACAGCATTCAAACTCACCAGTAGCCTCCACAAGGAGTAATTTCAATACCTCATTGCCACCTCCGGCCTTGTGCGGTGTACACATTCACAACAAGCGACCCCCCCCATTCTGTGGATGTGGATTGCTCTCTTACACTGTTTCTTCCTTTAACTTTCTTCTATTTTATTGTAATTTTCCCTCTGTCTTCTGAGCAGCTTTCATCCCACACTCACCAGAATGCTGAAAATCCCTTTCAAATTTAGTCAAAAATAAACTTCATGAAAACTTTATCAGAGGCACAGGCCGAAATCTTGTTTCTTTACTTAGCACTAGTAACTTCTACTAATCTAAAATTAAATACAATCCATGACCATTAATTGTGATTTATCAACTTGACGACAATTGCATGGAAAAGCACAGTGGTGAGGGGAGAGCCATCGTAGCTGTGGGCGGCACCAACAAGCTTGTCTGTGGCTTGGGTGGAATGAAAGAGAGAGAAGGATGTGGTCTCAGTCTCTGAAGAGTTCTGGCTGCTCCAGTGCTATATCATCTGCTACTGTAATTGTTGGGCATCAGCCTCTGTTGTCTTCAGTCTTCACTCATTGAACTGATGCTTCATTGAGCTCTCGGGGCTTTGGCCTTGGACTGGCAGCACCGCATCCTCACTCCCTCTTGTCCTGGACCTTCTGAATTCCTTAGCTCAGTGGATGCTGGATTCTCAGCTTTCTAGTACTGTGGACTCTGCTGCTGTGATCCTGTAAGCTACCTAATAAATCTCCTTGTATAATTATGCATACCTTTCCTATTGATTCTGTTCCTCTAGAGAACCCTAACCAATACATAATCCATTCTTTTGTAGGTAGTATTTATGTTTTAAAGAAAAAAAGTTCACTTATTGAAAATGTCAGGTCTTGGAATTATGATGTATACCTGCTCAGTTCCAATAGCCACAATGCCTGGGGACCCCAAGACTCACCCCTAGGAATTGAGTGGTGGTGATCATCAGGGAGCAAAGGAAAATTTAGACAGTTCAACACAGTCATAACTCATGAGCATACCTAACCAAATTCTAGGACCATTTAAAGGATAGTGGGTCAGACTCATTCTTTGACCTGACTGTGAGACCAGCTCATCAACACTTTCAAGGTGGTGCATTCCTGAAAGGTCCATCACTCACCATATTTCCAATCCAGAGTTATGCCTATACTATTTTAGGTGTCTTAACAAACTACACCTTCATGTACATTAGTGTCACAAGCACTTACCCAACTTAAAATATAAAACAAACAGCAATAGCATGATTAAGACAGAATGTATGCAAAAGAAATTCTTGCTGTATTAAAGACAAAAGGGGGTTCTAGGGTTTCAACATCCCAAGACAAAGGGTTGTGAAACTGTATGAGATAATTATTTATTAATGTTTTTAATTGATTTCATTATTATCCCACAAAATTTAGAATAATTACTTCCTGTATACCATCATTTTGAAACAATTCAAAAAACAAAATAACTCTATGATATTTAACTAAATAGATAATTGCTTAAAACAAAAGAATTTAAGAATAATAATGGTACAGAATTTATGTGAAAGGAATATATTAATTTTTCTTGCACTTCTTGATGTTAAAAATGAAGTTGAATTTTGTTTTTAATTCATAAGAGGCTTTGTCTCAAATACTAATTATATGATTTGCTTGTGACTAACAAAGTGTTGAATCATTATGGTTAATTTTATATTTTAAAATAACGAGGTTTGACCCTTGTGGGAGTGATGCTGAGCCTCAGACGGCTTTGGGGTCCCTGGTGAACTATGCCCCACACCCACACCATCTTTTTTTTTCCTAGTTTGATTATGCTTTTCTTTTTTTTATTTTAAAAATAAAAGGAGGAAAACATTAACAGACAGATAACCTTTTACAAAATAGCAAAAGAACAGTACAGACAATAGAGAGTTACAAAGTGGTAGGAAATTAACAATGCTTGTTGTATTACATATTGATGTAATACAATATGTAAACGTTTGTCTTCAAAGTGGTTTGAACTTTGTCTTCAAAGTGGTTTCTCATGAAAACAGAGAGAGACATGCAATATTGATCAATCAAGGACTCATTGACAGTTTCTTTCAGCAAAGAAATAGAGGACAGTAGAACAACTATGTTAACTTTCCTGTATATACATACATACAAAATTTCTCCTTCTTTCCCTTCTCTTTTCCCACATCCCAGTTGCCCTTTACCTTTGAGTGCTTTCCTATCATTTCACAATGTCTATCATACCTCCTAGTTTAAATTAACTCTTTCAGGTTTTACACTAGTGAAACAATGCGGTGCTTGCACATGTATGTCTGATTTATTTCACTTGTGAGTATGGTCTGTAGTTGTGACCATTTACCTATAAAAGTCTCAAGTTTATCGTTCTTTATAGCTGAGTACTATTCCATTCTATAAAAGTACCACAATTTTCTTATCCAATCCTCAGTGGATGGACATTTGGGTTGCTTCCACAATTTAGCAATTACAAATTGTGCTGCTATGAACATAGGTGCACGTATATCACTGTGATATGAAAAGCCCACCCACACCATCTTGTGAACAAGGGTGATCCTTCGACAGCTTTGGGAGCCTTGGTAAGATGCCCCCACACCCCACTATCACAGGAGCAATGCTGAGCCCCAGAGGGCTTCAGGAGACGTGATTACCTGCTCCCTACCACATCACTATTGTGGGCAGGATGCTGAGCCCCAGAGAAATTTGGGAGCCCTGGTGAGCTGTGTCCCATTTCCCTACTATCACAGGAGTGACAGTGAGCTCCAGTGAACTTCAGGAGTTTCAAAAATGTCAAAATGAAAGAGCAAAATGCAACCTCAGACCTCCAGCCCATCCAGAACAAGTACAGGAAACATTCATATAGAAGAATTTGGAAGTCGCACACTTGAAATTTCAGAAATGATAGCAACTGAAGTAAAAAAAAAAATAAATAAATAAAAAACAACAACAACAACAACAAAAAAAAACTCCATCAGGCCATAGAAGAAATCTGATCAGAAATAACCTCTTAGGTAAAAAAATAAGTGACAACAATAATGGAAGAATTGCTCAGCATATCTAAGGAAGACATAGATTAAAAAATAGAGAATAGAAAAATGATGGAAACACTGAGTAAACAATATAGGAAAGAATTAGAATGCAAGAAGCTGGCTCAAAGAGATATCCAGAAAATTAAAAATTTTATTGAAAGCTGACAAAACAACTTGAGCTAAACTGAAGATACACTTTCAGACCTTGAAAACAGCATTGCAGTTAGTGGTCCTCAAAAGAAAGCTCTCTTAAAAATAACAAGGAACCAGGAAATAACAATTCAGCAGCTGCG